CAGCCTATGCTAGGCAGGGGGAGGGGGGAGGAAGCTGACCTACCTTCCTGCTTCTTCCTCCTTCTGGAACAGAATGAGGCTTGAAGCAGGAAGCGGCCTGAAGAAGGGGGCGGGGCTTCACCACGTGACTGCCCCGCCCCTCTCCGCCTCTCTCCCGGAGCGCCGTACCGGAGGGCTCCGGGGCGACGAGACCCCTGAACCTACCCAACTGCTGCAGTCATCTTCAAGGGTCCTTCTTTGGGTGCCCTGACTGTCTGAGGCTAGCTGGGTGTCAATCTGAGAAAGAGCCTTGTCAGTCATGGCACCAAAATTATGGAATTCCCTCCCCTGGTAGATTTGTCTGTTGCCCTTGTTCATATTAGGCTTGCCAAGTCCCCCCGGGGGGGGGGCGGGAAATCCCCGCCCCAGAGGTCCGTTCCCCGCCGCTGGCGGATCGGGCCCCGTGGGAACCCCACCCCGACGTGCACATCACCCGGAAGTGACGCGACCACGCGGGGCACGTGGGGGGCGGGGCCACGGTCATCTGAGGGAAACTCTGGGTGACGTGCGTGCGGTGCGCACATGCGTGCACTCCAGCCACCAGCCAGGAGTCCCCCGCTGCGGCTCAAAAAGCACTTGGCAACCCTAGTTCATATAGATTGAAACAAATTGAAATTAAAAAATTGTCTTCTGCCAGCAAGTAAAGACCTGCCTTTGTTTGGTGTTTCCTCACTGACCCTCCTTCCTATTTGCATTTCTTTTAATTGTATATGCATTTTTCTTAGTTGTTGGTTTTAATTTTATATAATCACTTGTGGCCTTGGGGAACCTACGTTGGCTGGAAAGGTAGCATAAAATCATTTTCAATAAATAAATATGAACTTGGACATCTTGTCTTAATCCTGATTTATCCCTGGCATAGTCCTCGAGGTAGTGCAATCTGGGATACCAGCAGGCAAAAGCATGAATGCACTGAACACAGCATTTAAGGCAAAACAGGATTTGAATTATCATATATCTGAACTGAGCCACAGGCTGTGGAATATTTCTGGTCCCAAAAGTAGTATATGAGTGGTGGCTACTCCTGATGGGTTGGATGTTTAAAAGCATGATAGATTAATTTAGGCTACTTCTTGCACTGCCTGAAACTAGATTCCGAAGCAGCAAGGCTGAATTCTGGTAACTGGCCGTGTCTTGCCTAAAATTACAGTTGCTGCAAGTGAAAGCGTTGTTTTTATTGTTAGTACTATACCGAGGTTTTATTGTAGGCTACTCGAATCATGAAAGCAAAACAGAATATAAAAATAATGCACAATTGTGTAATAATAATGACTGATTCCCACCCCACGACTGATGTGCAGAGGGAGTTACACAAATGCAGGCAGGTGGATTCAGGCTGCTGCTGAATGTTGTCAATGAGGCTATATGCACTTTTTGCCTGCAAATGAAGGGGAAAAAATTCAAGAGGCCCATGGAACTGAGCTAATATATGGTTGTACATGCAGCAGCAAGGTTTGGTCTGCCCTATCAGTGCATTCTTCTTCCTTTCTGCTCTCATACATGAGAGCCTGGAACGCGCACAGTGCCTGTGCATTGAAGAACAGATAAGGGAGAAAAGAAGAAGAGAAAGGGAGAGCATGAGATGGATGGGCGAGGAGGGGCCAAGAAGAGATCATCGTTTGTGAGCTTGGTGGTAGCACTTGCCAGCCCAGCTGACCTGGGCTGGAGTTGGCATTCCAGTATGCCCTTGATCAGACTGTTTTACCAGAGGTCGATTCGGGGGGGTCACGGGGGATCGCCGTTCCCCTGGGTGAGGTGCGGGGGTGGGGCACATGACAAAGCCCCGCCCCCTGCTTCCGGCCACCCCCTGCTTCCAGCCTCATTCTGTTGCAGAAGGAGGAAGAAGCAGGAGGGTAAGTTGGCGTCCTCCCCCTCTGCCTGGCCGAGGCCACTCTACGTGGCCTCCGCAAGGACTCTCAGCCCCATCCAGGAGCTTCCCCAAGGTAGCTGTGTTAGTCTGTTGCTGCAAAATAGTCCAAGCGTTCAAATAGCACCTTTAAGACTAACAAATAGCACCTTTAAGACTAACCTTTAAGACTAAGACTAACTGAGTTGTGGGTGTGGCCTTATGACACACTTCTGGTGATGGCAGGGGGTGTGGCCTTACGACACACTTCCGGTGATGTCAGGGGGTGTGGCCTTATGACACACTTCCGGTGATGGCAGGGGGTGTGGCATATGCTGATGAGTTATGCTAATGAGTTCCCCTAGCTCTTTTTCTACGAAACGACCCCTGTGTTTTACCAAATGCTCATGTACCTGTACTGCCATATTTTTTGACTCCTTGATTTTCTTTTGAGCTTTGCTTAACTGATTTGCTCCTCTTGGTGGCTTTCTTTTCACAGTATGCGGGTGTGACTTGGCTCAAGGTGGCTTTTTCATTAAGAATGGGGAATACCTCTGTACTGTGGATTACCAGCGGCTGTACGGGACCCGGTGCAATGGCTGTGGGGAGTTTGTGGAGGGAGAAGTCGTGACCGCCCTTGGGAAGACCTATCATCCCAACTGCTTTGCCTGCACTGTGTGCAAGTAAGTAAACTGATGTTGGCTAAGTAAAACTGATATCCTAAAACTGATAGACAACTCAAAAACTGATAAATCACCAGGCCCAGATGGCATACGTCCGAGAGTTCTGAAAGAACTCAAATGTGAACTTGAGGATCTCCTGACAAAAATATGTAATCTTTCCTTAAAATCTGCCACTATTCCTGAGGATTGGAAGGTAGCTAATGTCACTCCCATCTTTAAAAAGCGTTCCAGAGGAGATCCGGGAAATTACAGGCCAGTCAGTCTGACGTCGATACCGGGTAAATTGGTGGAAACCATTATTAAGGAAAGAATTAGTAGGCACATAGATGAACAAAACCTATTGAGGCAGACTCAACATGGGTTCTGTAAGGGAAGATCTTGTCTCACTAACCTATTAGTGTTCTTTGAGGGGGTGAACAAACATGTGGACAAGGGGGATCCAATAGATATTGTTTACCTTGACTTCCAGAAAGCTTTTGATAAAGTTCCTCATCAAAGGCTCATAAGTAAGCTCAAAAATCATGGGATAAAAGGACAAGTCCTTTTATGGATCAAAAACTGGCTAATTAATAGAAAACAGAGAGTGAGTATAAATGGGCAATTTTCCCAGTGGAGGGTGGTAAGCAGTGGGGTACCGCAGGGATCAGTACTTGGTCCACTGCTTTTTAACTTGTTCATTAATGATTTGGAGATGGGAGTAAGCAGTGAAGTGGCTAAATTTGCGGATGATACAAAGTTGTTCAAGGTGGTGAAAACCAGTGAGGATTGTGAGGCACTCCAAAGGGATCTGTCAAAGATGGGCGAGTGGGCGTCAACATGGCAAATGGGGTTCAATGTGGCCAAGTGCAAGGTGATGCACATTGGAGCCAAAAATCCTAAATATAAATACACATTGATGGGGTCTGAACTGGCAGAGACTGAGCAAGAGAGAGATCTTGGAGTTGTAGTGGATAACTCACTGAAAATGTCGAGACAGTGTGTGACTAAAAAGGATATTATAGCTTTGGAAAAAGTGCAGAAAAGGGCAACTTGAATGATAAAGGGGTTGGAACACTTTCCCTATGAGGAAAGGTTAAGGCGCTTAGGGCTCTTTAGCTTGGAGAAACGACGACTGAGGGGTGACATGATTGAGGTTTATAAGTTTATGCATGGGAAAGAGCAGGTAGAGAAAAAGGTACTTTTCTCCCTTTTTCACAATACAAGAACTCGTGGGCACTCCATGAAATTGCTGAGCGGTCGGGTTAGAACGGATAAGAGGAAGTACTTCTTCACTCAAAGAGTGATTAACACTTGGAATTCACTGCCACAGGAAGTGGCGGCGGCTACAAGGATGGACGGCTTCAAAAGGGAATTAGATAAGCATATGGAGCAGAGGTCCATCAGTGGCTATTAGCCACAAGGTATAGATAGGGACTCTGGGGCAAGTGATGCTCTGTCATCTTGGTGCTTGGGGGGGTCAACAGTGGGAGGGCTTCTAATGTCCTGGCCCCACTGGTGGACCTCCTGATGGCACTGGTATTTCTGGCCACTGTATGATACAGAGTGTTGGACTGGATGGGCCTTTGGCCTGATCCAACATTGGCATCTCTTATGTTCTTATGTTTATGTTATGTAAGTGAAGGAATCCTAAACAGCGAAACAAGGTTTATTTCTAAAAGCACATTAAGATACTGCATGAATGACCAAGTATAAATGAATGGAATTGTTCTTAATTCTTATTTTTAATGAAAACATTAATGCTGAGCATGGCTCTAAAATGTAGTCAAGGAAGCTACCAAATATTTTTGACACAGAAGAGGAAAAATATCCCTAAAAAGGTTTTCACCTTGGACCCAGCCACCAAATACTGCTCCTTGCCCAAGTATTGCATTCTGGAGTTGTCTCCAGATGACAGATACCACTGTGACTAATAAAGGGGCTAGAAATTGCCCAGTCTATAGTGTGTGCTCATGTTGTTTGCTGATGAAGAGTTATCTGATTAGCAATTAACTTCTGCAAAAATGGAGGAAAGTCTGCTGTTCCAAAATATCAAAAAGTGCTTAGTGGTAGTATTTTTGGCCAAACTACATGCAACACTGAGGATCTGTGAAATACTTCCCTGGTTTGGTAATTTAGCTTCAAAAAGAAGCCATGAATGAGGTATGGATGGAGGGCAGGGTGTGGCTGTCGAGAAATGAGGTAACTCTTTGTCCCACAACATGTCCCCAGTTAAACTTTTATCTCCATCCCAGCTACTTTAAGTCCTGGTACAGAAAAAAAACCAGATACAGTAGAAATGCCTTCCTTTTCCCCTACCAGAGCTATACGAAACTGGGCTGGAGGGGGGGGGGGTTTCTAGTGGAGAAACACGTTGAAGGGAGAGTTAAACCTTCTCTAGTGACACAGGCTTGATCCATATTGGGAGCCCCCATGACTGCTTTTTGAAGCTAAATTGGAGCCACTGCTCCAAAATGAAAATCTTCCTGTATGTTTGGCCTTTAAAAGAAATCTCCATACTATTTCTGGGATATCTTCTCTGAAGCCAAGTTATCAGTAAGTCTCATTTAGTTTTGGCTTTTTTCCCAATCAAGGTGCTTTTAGTCTTTGGGTTTCCTCCAGATGTCTGGCTTTGCTGGTGCTACATTTTGAATGTTTTTGGCCCATGTTCCAGCAAGATATTGATTTGCACCAAAGGCGGCAGCCGAAGGAAGGTAGGAAAGAGACAGAGAGAATGAAACCACAGGGATAACCTTGAATTAAAATCCTTTTGTTCTTCTGCTCTGCAGACGTCCTTTTCCTCCAGGGGACCGGGTTACCTTTAATGGAAGAGACTGTCTCTGTCAAATGTGTGCTCAGCCAATGTCATCCAGTCCAAAAGAACTCTCCAATTCCAGCAGTAAGTACTCCATAATCTTTAAGATCCTAAATAATGTGAAATCTCAAATTTGCCTTTCTTTTGTGCAGTTTGTTTATTCTAGCCTTAGCAGGGCTGATTTCTTGTTGGGCATTCTGGAAATCTATACAGTGTTTACAATTGATCCCCCCGCCCCAAAAAACCCTTTTAAAATTATTTACAGGAAAAGTATTTGATGTTTTTGCTTTCTGAGCTGCTCCTATGCAGCTTCTTTTACATTAAAAGGGTGAATTCTTCTTCTCAGAATCTTTGTTTAGAACATTCAGGTGCTATCAAGCCTGGTTTGGGCCTATTGAAAATAGCAAGCAATACTAGAATTCCATTTAAAACAACATTATGGAAAACTTAAAAATTAATCTCCAATACTCAAGTAACTATTTAAGAATTATCTGGTATGAAAAGGACTAATGTAATTTCAGATTTTGATGGACAGCTCCCAGTTAAAAAAAAAAAAGATCTGCTATACACCATTTTTTGTGTGTAAAGTTTCTTTTCTCCTTCAGTGGGGGGAAGTCATCCAGGAACTGGTTAGGTCACGCCTCTGCTCGCTCGATAGGCTATGCAAATTTCTTTTGTTGCATAGCTCCTGTTGGAGTGGCCCTGGCTGACCTCTCCAGTTTCTGCATAGCCCTGCGCTTGATAGGATCTGGAGCTCCTGCTCCAAGCCCTATACAGCTAATAGCTGAGCAGAAAATACTTTAAACAGCAAAAAAGGGTCTTCCAGCGCCTGCTTCCCTCCACAGCAAGATAGCTACAGCTGAGGACCGAAGACGAGGGAGTCTAGGACCCAGCGGAGGGCAGGAAGAAAAGAAGATCGGCCTCACGTCCTCCAGAACAAAGGGAGGGGAAACATGGCCGCAACGAAGGAAACGGAGGGGCAGCGGCCTGAAGCCCCCGAGGTCTCGGGGGCTGGCCAGCAGAGCGTCCAGCGGCTGGACCTAGGACCCAGAGGAGGGCAGGAGGAAAAGAAGACCGGCCTCACAGCCTCCGGAACAAAGGAAGAGGAAGCATGGCCGCTACGAGGGACACAGAGGAGCAGCTGCCTAAAGTCCCCGAGGTCTCGGGAACTGGCCAGCAGAGCGTCCAGCGGCAGGGAATCGCGCCGCTGCCGGAGAACGCCAGCTCCTCCACCGCGGGACCGGCTGATCGCGAGGAGCCAGCCGCTCCCCGCGGAACCCCCCCGCACGTGGCGCAAGATGGCGGCGCCCTTCCACCGAGCGGCAAGCGGCCGCGGGAGAAGGCAACGAAGAAAAAGAAGCGGTCCCCAAGACCGGCTGGCGGAGCGGCCAGCAAGGGAGGATCGAAGGGCAAGCGCCGCGGGAAAGCCACGGGGCCGGCGAGCCCATCCGGTGAGCCCGTTCTTGCGGGGGGGGCCCCAGCAGTGGGGGGGCGGGACGGGACGGTTCCGACCCTTGGATCCCTTACTGCGCCAGCTCCGGGGATGCCCCGGCAGGGGACCAGCGGGCCCGCGCAGGATTCCCCCCACCCGGGGGGGGGGCTCCCAGCCCAACACGAGCGGAGCCGGGCAGAATCCTCACCAGCCGCGCGGGGCACTTCAGACGGCCGGAGCGTCCGGGGGACAGGGCCCCGGCGGGAGCCTTCCCCAACGTCCAGGGAGTTTCCCACCACTCCAGGGCGGGAACGGGGGAACGGCGGGCCCGGCGGGCCCAGCCGACGGCGCGCCCCGGCCGCTACAACCCAACATCCAGGGGCAGGGGCTGAGCTTCCCCACGCGGCCAGCGGAACCTACTTGCCCCAGCGGCCCCGAGACGCCGCAGGATGGCTTACTGGGACGACCACTTCAGGGGCCTTATGCTTGGGGAGGCATGGGGACTCCATGGCCAATAGCGCCCAACTTCCATGCGGCGTCCCTACAAGCGTGCCCAATGCTTCCTCAATCCCTACAGCCTCAGCATCCAATCGGGTCCCTGATGGCTGCTCCTGCGATGCATGCCCCACAGCTGGGGCTGGCGGGAATGGGCTCAGCGCAGCCCGGTTTCTTTACAACCGGCCTCCCCTGGCACTATACCCCGGGACCTTGGCAATCCATTCCTTGGGGTCAAGCAACCCAGACAGGGGGGGGGAACACACAAGGCCCCGCTCCCCAGGGTGCTCAGCCAGGCGGGGGAACCACTCAGGGCCCCGCCCCCGAAGGGACCCAACAGAGGGGGGGAACCGCACAGGCCTCAGTCGCAGTACTCGAGCCCAGGCGGTCCAGATCCCCCAGGAGGAGACAGAGACGACACTCGGCCTCCTCCCGGTCATCATCCGAGGCGCGCGCTTCCCCTCCACGAAAAAGAAGCCGCAAGCGCAGACATATATCTCCACCAGGGATATCAGAGGATTCGGAAGCCGAGCTAGAACGGGCGCGGGCCACTCTAGCGAAGATGCTACCATCCGATGGCGAGGGTCAGACCCAGCGCAGCCCCAGCATAGACGGGGGAGACACAGCCTCGTCCATTGTCTCCACAGCCCGTACAGAAAAGGAGGAAGGCGAATGGTCAGGAGATGAGACGGAGGTCAAACCCACGTCTTCGCGTCTTTTTCAAATAGAACACTTTCAGCGTCTGCTGACGAAGGTCATATCCACACTGAACTACAAGGTGGAGGATACCACAAAACCTAGGTCATCTGCATCAGCCGACCTCGATCATAGAGGGTTCAAAAGACCAGTCAAGGTACAGACCTTCTCTCCATTCCCTGACTACTTTGAGGATGTGATCAGGGAAGAATGGGCCAACCCAGGAGGGGGCGCTTCTCTGCACTCAATAGCAAGACGCCTTTACACACTACCTGACAGTACAATGGAGGACCTGAAGGTACCATTGGTAGACGCCCCTGTAGTGGCTATGCACTCAGGGGCAGTACTGTCCAAGGATGGGGATAACGTCCTAAAAGACAACATGGACAAGAAAAATGAAGCAGCCCTGAAGAAGTCACACGAGGCAAACGCGTTGGCTATCCGATCAGCAGCAGCTCTATCCAACTTCGCTAGGGCCTCAGTCATCTGGGCGGACAACTTGCTGCAGAACCCTGAGGCCACCCCCCTTGAAAGACGGCGAACACTTTTGAAGATAAAACGCGCGGCGGAATTCGCCGCGGACGCCTCCCAGGACACCATACAGTTCTCCGCAAGAGCCCAGGCAGCAAACATTCTTATTCGCCGAAATATCTGGCTCAGGCACTGGAAGGTGGACACTCTATCAAAGGGCGTCTTGGCTACGGATCCTTTCACGGGCAGGCTCCTATTCGGGGAGTCCAACCTGGAGAAGGTATTGATAGAAACCAAGGAAAAGAAAAAAGCGATGCCCTCATCGACATACCGACGAGACAACAGGGCCAGAGCACCCCATTCCTTTCGGAACCACTTCGCAAGGGGGAGGGGCCGCGAAGGGCCCAGCAATGCCAGACCGTTCCGATCCTTCAAGTACAGTCCTAGACCCACCTACAAACCGGCGGCAACCTACAAAACCAACAAGGGCGCCCCGGCAAAACAACAACAGGCGTGACGACAAAATAGGGGGCCGGCTCCAGGCGTTCGCACACGTCTGGGCCCGGACCACCAACGACCAGTGGGTTCAGAACACCGTGCGGCACGGATACAAAATAGAACTCACTGGCCAGCCCCCACACAGTTTCAAACCGTCACCAGCCCCGAGGAACAAGGAGCGTCTCTGGCTCCTGCGCGAGGCAATTCTCCACCTCAAGGAC